CCACCAGGGAGCTCCATCATCCTCTGAGTCACAGGCCACCTGGGAGCAGGTCAAATGATGAGGTACTTAGCCAAAAAATTGGTACATCACAAAAAAATTGGTACGTGACCAGAAACGGTTACATCAGTTATCAAACGAAATGAACGCAAATGGGTCTAATAATCCAGTCCCCATTTGCATTTTCTTAAACTGGTACGTGATTCATTTTCATCAGACATATTTGCATTTACACCACTATCAAATAGGGACATGCCCCTTACGGTGGTGTGGCCGAATCGAGATCGCATCTCCGCCCCACAAGGGGTTGCCTCACAACACATCCCCGCCATGTATTGGGAACATCTCCCAATGATAACATTATCGAGACTGGTATTATTATTGGGAGATGTTTCCAATACACAGTGGGAATATACTGTGCGACAGTGATATGAACTCAGCCGAATCACTCCCTCCAATCTTTTCCCTATGGTTATTATTTTTTAAATTGTCTCTTAATTTTTCTATTTTGACTTGTAATCTCATACTTGTTGAATAAGAATAAGAACGCGTTATAGCTCTGATTTGTGTGCAGTGCCTCCCACCCCGCCCCGTCGATGCGTTTAAAGTTAAATAATGATGATCAGTTGTAATGGAAGAGTAGAGTTGGGATCAGCTACCAACACACAGGTGCCAACAATTAATGTTCCAATCAGCCATTGCAGCCTTATATCAGAAACATTTCTTCATAAATGGAAAGGCTGTGTTTGGTTGGGGTGCAAATTTATTTGTATTTTTATAAATGCATGGGAGTGCAAATGTAAAAAATGCAAATTTTTGTTTAATTTTATTTTGGATATTATTTTATTTTGTTTTATGTCTTAATTTATTTTATCTGTACTACAAATAAAATAAATTAAAACTTGAAATAAAAATATGTTAAAATTTACACTCAAATCATTTGCACTGCTATGGTTTTGCATCAGTGCAAATTTATTTGCATTGCAATCAAACATAGCTTAAGGGAGATGTTCCCAATGTGAAACTGCAGTGACCTGTTGGGACAGGATTGGGAGTGTTCTATTGGTATGGTAGCAGATCCCTATCCCTATGGACTTATTGATGGGCAAATAGAATGACAACAGCTCAGTAGATATTTTTAAGCCATTAGCATAGAGTAGTAGATCTGTTTAAATGGAGAAGGTATGAAGGGATTTACTCAGAGTGTTTTTCATATCAACCTCAGAGCACATCCCACCATGAACAAAACCATGGTGTGCTTATTATGCAGAAATTATATTATTCGATGACGCATGCAATGTGGCATGCCTATTGATTGCCACATATCTTCCTCATTTCAAATGCCTAATGGAAATCAAAACATTAGGCTCAATGGAAAGTTATTCCCATTAGTGAGTTAGTTTTAGGCTGCATTTGGCGTTCCTTATTTTAAGTACTTATCTGTTTGCAGTTAAAATGTCCCAATAAGCATGGAATTTTTAACTGCAAAAAAGAGCCAAATCCTTAAAATAAGGAATGACAAATGCAACCTTAATGCTTCCACGACAAAGGATCAATTGACCTTCACTTAAATTTCAGATGAGTAAGGCGAAAAAAAAAAAAAAAAAAAAAGCTCAGATGAGCTTCCATGAATGAGGACCTCAAGATCAGTAATTGGCTCAAATAGAGATAGTAGGGCCTCCAATTGCATTACTAGATGCCATGTGGAACCCAATTCACTGATGTAACATCAGCCTATGGCCCTATGCGTGAGTTATCCCTGCCAAAAACTAAAGTGGTCGCCCAATTCACAGCAACATAAAACCTGTTCCTCCAGCTAACAACACGTGTTAGATAAGCAGAACGCCACATCATCCAGCTTAGAAAACCTGCAAGGGAAATTCCGTTTGCATCCTGACAAACCAAAAGGAAATTGAAGCGTGAGAATGATGAGAATTAGCATTTAAATGTGGCTAGCAAGTTAAAACAAAAAACTAGTCTAAACAAAATGATCAGTTATCACCAATGTGATTCGTTTTACTTGTATAACGCATTTTCCTACTCTAAATAGCTCCTGTGTGTTCCAACAAGAACTGAATCAAGATACTAAGCTCTAATCCCATCTCATTCAAAATTCAGATGCACGATGGACAGAAATCTCCCAAATTCCTTTCTGGTATTATGAATTGGGATCATACTCTAGCTGACGAGTTAACTCAATTGAACTACGAGAATAAGTCTGAGATGGAATTAGTTCTGAAGATTGGTACAAAGGCACGGAATCCAGATTGAGTTTTGGACTTGTATTTTCTGAATCCATAAGTGGCATTCCTATGTCTTTCTAGCCTGCTCTTGACTTATATTCTCTCCATATGCTACTTTTTTAGTATATCCATAGCTTAACAAACTGTGAGGCAGATATGGAAGCATATAAAAAAAGGCAAGAAACTACCTTGGATTGGCGCAAATCAACTAATGCTTTGTACCGTCCAACAGATGCCATACTCCCAAGGTGCTTGTAAACAAAAGGCTCACCAAGGGGAATGTCTTTTGAACAGAAAGCCTTGCCTCCATTCTGTTGCCCAATCCTGTTAATCAACTCTACCAAAAATTTGCCTTCTCTTTCTGCAACCTGTTAAAAGAATTGAATTGTTTGTATGATGAGAAATGAAGAAAAAGTTATTGAACCAAGGTAATGAAAGAGGTCACATTGAGTTATCTCTTCGTTTCAGTTACAAGGTATTTGTAATCCTTAAATACATTGATTTAAACAGCAAAAGAAAATAAATATGGCTGATAGGAAAATATACACAAGGGATACTTTACCTGAGCTAAAGCTGGAAGTACTTGCTTCCCTGTCTGTTCCAAGAAACCAGCACAATCCCCTAAAGCATATACATCTTGCACCGAAGGAACACGAAACCATTCATCAACACCTATCCTGTATCATTACAATCATAATTAATATAATCTGTAGTAGATATTGGAAGAAAACATGACTAACATTTGAACAGAACAATGTACCTTCCACCAGGCGACTTGGGAAGATCAAGTGATTTTACAAATCCTGATGGGCCAACACCTGTAGACCAGACAAGTAGGCCATATGGGACATCAGTTCCATCACTGAGAACTATCTTCTTGTCTTGAACTTCTTTCACAACACCCCGCGTAAGCCGAACCCCAGACTGATACATGTTTCAAAAATCCTGGATAATTATTCAACCATTGTGGCAGAAAGAAGAATAAGAAAAGAAGATTCCGTTGAAATACATAAACACAACTGCAATCACCTTCGTCAAGTGCTTTATTGCATATTGTCGTAATCCTATATCAAATGACGACAAGATTTCATTTGCCTGACCAAACGAGAACAAGAAAAATTTTAGGTACTTGGATATCTTCCTCTCAAATTCCATGGGAAGAGACATAAAAAGAAAAACAATATAAATAAGAAACAGAAATACATAGTACCTCTATTAGGGTAACCTTGATATCATCCTTAACATGAGAATACCGCTCACAAACATCTTTTATAATAAAATCACTCAATTCTCCACTGAACTCCACCCCAGTAGGGCCACCTCCAATAATAACACAGTGTAATAGGCGCTTCTTTTCTTCCTCTGATATGCCTATGAGATGGATAGAACCGGCATTACAAGTCTACAGGGAAAAGAGCCCTACTTCTAAGTCATTAAGACAAACAGTCACGGCTTATGCATCCGTCAAGCAGATTTAGGACCAGAACTAGCTATATCCTCTATATCAGATTAAGATGTGTCATCATGCCCACATACATGGGGGACAAAAAAAGTCCTTCACATGTAGAAATGTAGATAGAGAGAACAGAGAAGTAATCAAATTATCAAAACAAGAAAGAAGCTTACCTTTTCAACCATAAGAAATACACAGGGCAACACTTAATGACCAAGAAAAGTTGGTTAAGTAGCTTGCATTCAATACAATGATTTGGTTTAGCACTGGTCTTCACCATTTAACTTGTTTATTCGCTATAGAGTTCATTATGGAGAAAACAATGGCATTATTATCTCATCCTTTGGCAATTAAAGGAAAAGGCTCACTATCTTCAACTTTAAAGATCTTGGATTGCCTAAACTCCTAGATACATGACCAAATTGGATTATTGAAGCTAAAGGCTTTTATAGGTTTAGACCATCCTGTAAAGATAATCGACAATTTGGGCTGCAACTTGAGCAGGCCTAACCTGAGTGTGACATAATCCAACACAGCCCATTTTTTCCGGGCTTAGGTTCAAATTTTTAGGCTTCAATCTGGGCTTGGGAATGAAAACTCAGGCCTAGCAAAATCTTTGGCGGGCTAGGGTTAAAGGCATCAAGTAGACCAAGCCTTTTCTAAGTCCAACCCGAGTTTTCTTTTGCTCGATTTCATTGAAGTGAAATGCTAAAAATATGATATAAATTACAAATGTAATGTCAAATTACTCATCTAAAAGGATCTGAACCTTAAATACATTACCCAAGTTGCACTCCTAATATTTAGAAACCCTTCAATTAGAAGTTCATTGGATAACTTGCTCAATCACTGAGAGAGTCGGTAAAGTTGCTAATAGTTTATGAGTGAAAAACAAAGAAAATGCATAAGAATGGCCCTACCCTTTTTCTCTGGATTAACACCTTCCTTAATTCCTTTCGACCTGTTACTATGCTTCAAAAGAAGAATCAACATTTCCCTGCTTCATTAAGGAGATTGAACTGCTATACATAGCCTAATTGGACCAAACTGGGCAAGAACTTTTGTTGGTTTGGACTAATTCAGTACTCTACATTATTGTTGAGATCTACGCAAATTATTAAACCTACTATTATGGTTGGGTTTGTCCTTTACCGTTATAGCGGGTTCTTGTCTCTGTAAAAGAAACTTCTAGGCTACATCATCAAGTTGCTATGGATATCAATTAAGCTTTTTAACATAATAAACCCATTTTCTTGTCCTATGCTTAACTTCTCCCTTCTTCCTACGTACATGTTTTTGCCACATTAACAAAAAAAAATACAAATTAAGTTATATGAAAATTAAGGGATTCCAGAAAATTACAGTGAAGAATCATTAAGAAAACATGGCTAACCTGGATTTTCAGAGAGCATCAGATTCAAAAGAAGCTTCCTTCGTATTTCTTGTGCATGATTTACTTCCCGAAGGAAAAATGCATGTTCCTTCACTCCCTTAATATTGAAAGTCAGCGGGTCAGCACCAGTAGCAATGACTAGCTTGTCATATGCAACTTTAAATCTGTAAGGCTCATGAGGTAGTCCAACACTTCCAGCTGTTTCACAGTGTACCTAATTCAAGCGATAAATAGTGTTATACAACTTTCTGATTATTATATCTTCAAACAGAATGATAAAACAGAAAAATTCTATTCCTGTTTCAGCAGTTATCCATTCCACATCCACATTAAGGAATCCTTCTATAACTTTTTAACTAGGTCTAAATGTAGTTTTATTTGGATTAAATCATACTTCCAAGGTTTGTAGTGTTTTCATAATTCATATACTGGTTTCTTTCTCTTATTTTCTTTTTTGCGAGGGTTCAATTAACACACAAGGCAGTAGAACTGCTTTAAACTCTTGAAAACCTAAAAACCTCAATTCTTCCACATGCTTCTTTTCTTCTTTTTCTGGGACAAGAACAAAGGCTCCAGCCCTTTTTCCTCTTATTTTCCAAGTTTTTCTTTCCTTTTCTAGGATATTTTTCTTCTTCTTCATAAATATGCTGATTTTCTATGTTTTGATATGCACTGCATACATATTTGATGAAGAGTATTGCCAATTATCAGTAAGACGATATTTGCTATATAACCTAGAAAATTAGCCTAAGAATCAGGTTTCATTTTTTTATAATAAAATCTCTCTCTAGGCAAGGCACTCTCCTGTAGCCTAGTTTCTCCTTGGCACCTTTACAATTACGGAGTTAATCCCTGTATACGACTGAAGATGTCTCAAAGCAGAAGTAGGCAGGGTTCTTAAACCCTGGTGTTAGGTTGTGAAATACGAAGCTTTTGTATCTATTAACTTATAACCTTGTCTCTACGCGTAGGAAATGTGCTGGTACAAGCCAATTGATGTTGGCATCTATTGTGAGCATGCGTGCATTTTCCCACAGGGCTGTGGTTATGCAGTATATGCACTTAATCCAAGTAAAAGAAACAGAGGAATAGAGGAACTTACTTCATGTTTATCAGTATTGATTCCTATGCAAGAAGCCAAGTAGAAATATGAATTAGGACATGTTGCTAAAGCAGATTGAATTCGACTGACAGGCTCAGAAACCGAACGGAATTCCAGGGTTCCGACACAAGTAGAAGCAAGCAGAGGAGTAAACACCATATGATTCCTTGGCGATATGCAAACAGCATCATATATCTTGGTGTCAAGTCCCTTGAGAAAGCGACAAGCAGCCCACCCCGTACCCAAAACAACGACTCTTGGCTTTTCACCGGGATTAGTAGCTTCAAGTCCCGGTAACTTTTCATAATAATCCTCTGAATCTAAATCTTCTAAAATATTCTCAGGTGAAGGAAATTGGTATTTTGGAGTAATCCTTATTCCTCTGCTTCCAAAGACTAAAATATATATATTTCCAATCCCAGAAAGGTACTTGAGATTGCTACTGCCTGTAATGTTGCTAACTGATGAAAAGTAACGCCTGCTTGTGGATACTCCCTCACTGAGAATACCCGTCTCAGTCATGTAGTTGCTAATGGCTCTTCCTGACTGCTTCAAATTGCTCCGTGCAAACCTTGACAATGCCATGTTGAAGACTGGTAGACCGGGAGAAGGAGAACCTAATGCTCCTTTTTAATCCTTTGTCTTCAAATAACAATGCTGAGCACCTGTAAAACAAAAAAAAAATGCTGAGCTGATCCAATCTTTAACTTGGCCCGATAGAGGGAACAGAGAAGTGAGAAATGCATACAATATGTACCGGCTACGTAACCTATCAAGAGTAAATACGCCAGTGATACGATCACCTGGGCCCTACATCCTATGTGTATGGATCACTACCGTGTTTAATCTTGATTGACTACGTACCATTGTATACGTCTTTGTTTCTAACAAATCCAGCCGGAGTGATGCCAAGAAAACAGCAGAGAAAACGAAATCCAACGGAGCTTGGTTGGTTCGCCAGCGCACCATAGATGACAACACTCGGAATCTTCAGGAAGGAGATGGAAGAAGATTCGATCTATTGACAGTTTGACGATGCAAATGGACACTCTCGTATAGTCTTAACGATTATATGGGATATGTAAAAGGACTAGAATACATGTACGTGATAGTATCTCCAAGACAACTATTTACAATTCATAGACAGTTTTGAACAATTATAAGTGGTCAGTTTTTTAAGTGTAATAAGTCAGCATTTTTTGGAGTGAGAGTAAAGGACATATATGTCATTTTTATGCCCGTTGTAAATTGCTTAAATAAGGGGTAAAAATGTTTAATGAAAAGTCCAGAAAATGGGGTTATTCATTCTTTTATTAGTAACTAGTAATTAAGCACATGCGTTACACCTGAAAAATTTTTCATATTAATTACTTAAATTTTAGATATATCATAGTTAAGATAGAAATTGAAAATTAACAAAAGTAACAATATGATTAAATAACTTAAATATTTATTATTCAATTATGACATAATGGGTTTCTTTGAAAAGTTGGACCATGGACCCACCATCTAGATAAGAGAAAATAGTTTTGTTTTTGGATTAGTTTTAAATTAGGGAAAATTATAGTGAGAGTTGACTATGCAATTAAAATTAGGTTACAAGTTGGTCCATAAACTAACAAAACTTTGACAACTGGCTCTATATTTCAAATTATAAAATCCTTCACGATGCCATCAGAAGTTTATGTGGCGGTTGCCAACATGGGACTCTTAATCCATGTTGGACACACCAAAAAGCTTATACTAAAATTGTCCTTTAATGTTGGGTGATTAGAAAATAAAAAAGGGTTTTTGCTCTCTCTCAATCTCCCTCACACTCTCTCATTCACAGTCATCTTTATCTGCTCAATGATAATGTAATTTGAAAATAAATAAAAATGGTTTTTGGTTTCTACATTTCGTTCTCTATATCAATTTCTCTCATTCTCTCTCTCTACCTATCATTCTCCCTCAACCTTTCTCATTCTTTTTCTTGATCATTCTCTCATTTTCCCTTATTTTTTATCATTCTCCTACTCCCTCTCTTGTTTTTTTTTTAATTTTCTTGCACACTTGGTATGAGACCAACTTGGTATGGTTCAAAAATCATTACACCAATTTGATAAAAAATCACAAGAAACCCTTAGTTATGAAATTTTCAATAACTGGAGAATGATAGAGATTGAGGGAGAAGGAGATATTGATCGAGAGGGATAGTGAGGGAGAAGAATGAAAAAGATTGAGGGAGAATAATAGAGAGAGAGAGAGAGGTTTTGATTTATCTACAAACTAAAGCTAAGAGCGAGAGAGATAGAGGGAGCGGGATATCGAGAGATTATGAGAGTGTGAGAGAAGGATGGGAGTGAGAGAAAATGAAAACCTATTTTCGGTATAGGTTTTTTGTTGTGTCCAACATGGACTAAGAGTCATATGTTGGCAATAACCACATAAGCCTCCAATGACATGGCATGGGATTTTATAATTTGAAATATAGAGTCAGTTGTTAGAGTTTCGTTGGTTTCTGGACCAACCTTCCACCTAATTTTAAATGTACAACTCACTTTGACTATAATTTTTCCTTTAAATTATATATTTCATTTACATTATATAAAATATTTTTCTACTTATCACACTTAATTTTTGTTTGTCTATGGTATCATTTGACTCAAACCACTAACCCACCATCAAAAAATAAAAATTGTTTGATTTGTAAGTTAACATTAAATTTTGTATTGCATTTCCATCATTGATAAAATTATTTCTTATGTATAAAACTTATTTTTGTTCAATATAATAAATGCACAATATTAGAGATGTACCTAATATTTTATTTTTTATAAACACACAACATTAGATATGTGCCCAAAATTTTCTCTACCTTTTTTTTTATTTTTGTGATTCTTTGTATTTTTTATTATTAAAAACTTTATTATTCGATTATGACATCATTTAATTTCTAGGTAGATTTTGAGTTTCACATTCCATTTTCATCATTAATAAAAATATTTTTTTTATGTTTTATAGTTATTTATTTTAATTTTGTATTATTTAATTATGGCATTATTTATTAATCCATTTGACCCCAAATGGTCGAATTGCTTGCCCACCACCGGGAGGGAAGAAAATGGTTTTGTTTTCAAATTACTTTTCAGAATATTTATTTCTATACTATTAAAATTAATATTGTGTATTTAATTACAAGAATTTAATGATAAGAAAAATATATCTTAAATATAGGATTTAATGAGAGAGTGAATAGGAAAATAGTTTTTAATTTCAATCGGTTTTAAATTTTACACTCCATTTCCATCATTAATAAAAATATTTCTTATTTCTCATACTTATTATTGTTTAATATGTATAATAAAAATGTTCGTAATTTTTTAATTTCTATTTTTTTTCATTTTATCTATTTTTTTAATTTTATTATTTAATCGTGACAACATGGATTAACCCATTTGACCCAAAATGATTTAATTCCTTACCATCACTTAGATGAAAATACTATTTTTGTTAGGTAGATTTTAAAAGTATAAGCTTTTATGTTATTGGAATTATTAATTTATTAAGTATGGATGTAATTAATAGAACTTAACGATGAGAAGAAACAAAAATTACTTAAATATATGATTCAATAGGCATGAAAGTAAGTTAATAAATTAAATGTTGGATTTAATGAGAGAGAATTGAATGCATTGAATATCTTTAGATTATCTCTTTTCAAGTCATTTAATATCAAGAACTGATTACCCTATTTTCCCTCATTTTTTTATCAATAAATTTAAATATATAGGGGTAAATTTTGTCCTTAAAAAATTTCAGAAATATTCTTAAGGCTATTTATGCTTATTAAAACAGTATAAAAATAGAAGATAGAGAATTAAATTAAAAAATCAAGTTAGGTAGACACGTGGTAAACGAGGAGATTAACCTACTATTTGAGGAATAAAATAACGTTCTTTACAGATAATGATCAACTGGTTAGGATCATCAAGAATTCAAGATGAGTCAATTAATCTTCAAACTAAAGGTGGCTGTTCCTGTTAGAAGATTTCCCATCGATATTTTTTCAGAGGAAATGCAACTAGTCTGTCGAGAATTTTTGAAGTCCTATCTCTCTGTCTATCTATCTACCTATCCATCTTGACGTCTAATTGAACATATGACATATAACGAAGAGATGGACAGGAAGAATAATCAAACCATCTGCCGTATAAGAGATGAAAGAATTGATATGACACCTCCCGCCAATTACACAGACGAGAACAGAATTTCAGATCTTGACTGCAACTAAGCAGAAAATAAACAGACATTACAATTAGAAAAGATCAGAAGAATTTGAGTATTTAACACCTCCGTCGAAGCAACGAGGTAGTGTAATCCGCTTTACAAAAAACAGAGAACCGTGGTCGCGACTCGCGAGTATCAAAAGAGATATATTCCTAGGACAAGGCACGAGTATAGGAACGAACTTGCATTAAACATCACTAGATTGAATTTACTATAGTGAGCTCCAAGCAATGAAAACCAATAGAAAACATAAACAAGTAAAAGACATTCATCTATGTGCAGAACAGAAGAAGTCCCATAGATGTTGAGAAATGAGAATTACAGAACAAGAAATCTCAACATAATTTTAATCTACGATAGAAGCAGTTGAACAAAAAAAAAGACATAAATCTACTCTGATACTGAAGCAAACCAAATAAAATGTGAAACGCCAGAAAAACAAAATGTTGAAGAAAGAGCAAGGAAAGAGCAGAGAGCAAAAGTTATGCTAGTAAGTTTGCTAAAAGTAGAAATCCTTGGACAAATGTTCCTCAGCATATACAAGATCTGGATCTCAGAGGAATAGATCAATAAAACAGTTCATCATAATTAGCTTAACCTCTGTTATAATCTAAAATATGAACATCACAAGCTCAAACAATCAGCAAATAAACGATAAAGAAATTATCATATACATTCAAACTAATCTGAAAGCTACTTAATCAACCTGCTATCCGTTTTACACTCGCTGGAAGACCAGAAGATACAGAGAGAGAATCTTCGAATGGTTACACGAAATAAGGACCTGAGAAAGAAATGGTGAAGAAGCAATCTGATCGTCCAACTAAAGCTTGGGGACCAAGAAACCGGAGATTGCCTTCTTCTTTAATAACCGATCGCTTTTTTATAGGCAACTCTAGATTCTAGCATTGTATGTTAAATGATATTTCTTGGGTAAATTAGAGATTATCTCACCTGTACTTTGGTGTAGTGGTAATTACCCCTAAAGTTCCATTCCCAATAAAGAGCCCCCCCTTAACTTTCAGATTCCAATAAAGACCCTCTCTATCAGTATTTTCTCATTTAACTTTGAAAATTTTCTCATTTGATTGTTTAAATTTTTCTAAATTTTCAAATTACCCTATTTTCAACGATTTTCTAGCATTTATTTTTTATTTACATTTATTACTGGTTTAATTGATATTATTTGTCTCTTTCATTCGTTACAATTCCATCTTTTCATAGATTTTTCTTGCTTATTTTTTGTTGCAATTTCCATTTCACATAAGTTTCTCAAGTGAATATTTTCATAAATTAACTTCTTCTATCATTCAATTTAATGAAGAGGGAGTCTTTATTAGAATGTGAAAGTTCAAGGGCCTTTGTCGCAAATGAAAATTTAGGTATAATT